AGCATAATCTCTGACCCTCCGGTGGCCGGGCAGGAGCAGCAGATCGGGACGCCTAGCAAAAACATCCTCAATCTGCTGGCAGAAGACTTGTTTTGCCTCATAGGTGGAGGACCACCGGAGGATCATCAGCGATCCAGCAATCAGACGGCTAGTTATTTCATCCTCCCATGGCGGCAGAGTCGGGACCGGCTCTTCTGAGGCTGGTGTAGGAAAAAAATCATCTGCCTCTAGGGAGGGCAGACTTGAAAGACCTTTACCTGCAGGCTGGGTGCTTGGTCGGATCATTCTGTAGGGATTCTGGCAGGAACAAACCCAGGGTGCAGGCAGGCTCAAAAGTATAACAAAAATTTATTTTTAAATAACAAAAAGAGGGCGGCTGGTAGCAAACTTACAATTTCACGAGATGATCAGGCACGAGGAGAACGAAGCACGAGGAACCAAAACACAACAATGATCCGACAAAAGACAGAGACAGGACAGGGCTTAAATACACAGAAAACTAATTAGGGGAGAGAAAACACCTGGGGAGAAACACAAGGGTAATCAGCAGCGTGATGAGGGGCAGCTGGGCAAAGACACACTGAGGAACATAGAAAACACTAGGAAAACTGAGAAATAAACACAGACTATGACAATTATGATCTTTATTTTCATTTAATCCTCTAATTATCCTTTAAGTCTTTGACCAAAACTGCTCATAAAATTAAATGAAACAGTTTACATTAGTTTTTTTAACGTATAAACTTGTTGTGAACTTTTCCTTCAACTTGCTGTTTMTTGAACACGTTCCTGTTAGAAAAAAGAATCAAATCAAATGTGAGTCAGTTTAGCAGCAAGTGTTTGTTCTCAGAGAGCAGAACAGGAAATYTTGTGTTTATATGGTTTTATTGTTTTAAGTCTCTATAAACGTACAACTCTACTTTAGAGAAGAAAATGAGTTTGAAAGGAAAAGTTTTACATAAAATGATTAATAAATAAATAAAGATATGGTTTAATTCTAAAGCAGAGCTGTGAACACATTTATAAACTCTGATTATATAATTATATATTTATATATATATATAAAGCCCGGTCCAGTATGAGGCCGAGCAGCAGCTGTGGAGCATGATGACTGTGTGGTTCTGGTCTAACTGGGCCTGGTACCAGTGTGAGTCCAGCATGATCTCCACCTGCATGTTGTGCTGTTGGTTCTGCTGGGTCAGAGCATGCTGACTGGACGGTTCTGTCTGTGACCTTCTTGTCTCTTATTTTCTGCCTCCTTTGTAGCAAATCAGTTTTCAGTAAAAGCTTGGATATCACAAACACTAACTGCAGCAAGGAGGAAAGGTACCGGCCCGCTCCGTCTCTGTGTGTGTGTGTGTGTGTGTGTGTGTGTGTGTGTGTGTGTGTGTGTGTGTGTGTGTGTGTGTGTGTG